GGTTGATGTGGTTTATAAATGCACTCCTGTGACCTGTACTCTGAAGGTCATGTACTCTTTGTCCCACGGAGAATGGAGAAATGAGACTAAATATTTAGTCCAAGTAGATGCCTGCGAATTGGTGGACAGGGGGAAAAAAACCTGCCTAATTACCAGGTCACAGAGGTACACAAGACATACAGAAGAAAAAGAACACTGAAATACCACCCAGTGCCGACTGAGCATCAGATTTTCCTGAGTGTCCCTGGACCCTGGTCCCTGGACCCAGCGACCCACTGTCCTCCAAACTGCTAGTGCAACCTGATACATCAAGGTGGCTTAAGTGGCCTGAATTGACACACCTGTCCTCCAGGGGGCGCATGAGGCCCACAGGCTGGGTTTCCTGGCTCTGTAACAAGGTGAAGTTAGGTGATGCTTCCACAGCCAGCCTGGAGCTCTTGTGATATTAGATCTGTGTGTAAATGACATTTCACTGCCAGGCAAGTGAGCAAGCCTTGCCACTGCTTTGGAGTCAGCTGGCCTGGGCTGTGACAGGAGCCCAGCCACGTGGCAAGGGAGCAACTGCCTCTACGCTGGAGATGGCAGCCTGTGGTTCAGAGGGGAGCAGAAGACCCTCTGCAGTCACACAGACACACAGCCCAGCCACCCTGGCGTGGCTCACAGGGTGAAGCTGTCCCCAGATGCAGAGAGAGGACAGGGAACACCAGGCCAGGAAGGCAGGGGGCCCTTGTACAAGCATGTTGTTGTGCGTTCCAGAGAGCCTAAACAGGTTTAGATTTACTGGGTGGGTCAGCTGCCCTTCCCCAGTCTTCTCCAAAGGGGGACAAGAACTCCTTTAGGGGCCCCAGACTATGCTGGCGACCCTTCTCTGCTGCTCTTTGTGCTAAATCAAAGACAGGGCTGCTCATACACTTGTGCAGAATGTCTTCTGCCAAGCATGAGATGACTAAGGGCCAAACTGTCTGCTGCTGTGAGTTCGGAGCTGTCCCACCCATCTGGGATTTGGGGTGATCTTGTCTCCAACTCCAGCCCCTCCCAGAGCCATTGAGCAGGCCTGCATGGCCTCTGTGTGACACATGGGCTCTGCTCTGAACCCACTGCCTGATCCTAAGTGCTCTTTGCTGGCTCCTATGCTCAGGCTCCTTCTCTGCATAACATTCACTGCAGGAATGGACTGAGTTAATTCCTCAAAGTGCTAGGTCTCTGGCAGGTGTCGGCCAAACATGCTGTTGTGACATGATTGCTTTGCAGAGGTTCCCTGGGGCTTGGTGGCAGGCCGGTCCCTTTGACCTCTTGTTTCTAGCAAGGTTCCCACATGTCCATGCTCCCTTTCCTCCACCTGGCCAGCTCCCACGCTGCTTACCACTCGCTCCTCCTTGAGCTCTTGGGGCTCTGGGGCTCTGGCCAGTAGTACGGACGCTGTCTTCCGGGCACATGCACCCTTCCCTTTGTGCCCAAACATAGGCGGTTCATGTTCCAGAGAGGTACCTTCTTTTCAGACTTAATGAAAGTTGTTTTTGTTGTTGTTGTTTTGTTTTATGAAATAAATAAGTGAGCACCCAGAAGGGAAGCGCATTTGCTGATCAAGATTGGCATTTACCAAAGAGAGTTCTTCTCTGTGCATGAACCTGTCATTTACACAGAGCACAAGAAGTAGTGTGGAGAGGGAAACAGAGGCAGCCCGTCCTCAGCATCCTGTCACCACCCTCCTCTTCCCGCCACCTCAATGCACAGCCAAGCTTGATGGACTAAAGTAACAGCCAATGAGTTGTGTTCACGACTTCTGTAGGCTGGGTCTTGGGAGCAGGAGGAGCAGGCTTGTTCCTGCTCTGCGCCCTCAGAGCTCAGCTGAGAGGACTCAGAAGAGGATGACCTGAGACAGACATCCTGGAAAGCTTGCCCCCACCCCCACTCACCAGTGCATTTCCCGAAGCTGTCGGGCAAAGGGTGTGCAAGCCTGAAGACCAGGTTCCGAGCACGACAGCTCAACCAAGAGAGAGCATCCTCAGTGGCGTTGCTGTGGTCCAGCCTCCAGCATGCAGGGCCTTTACAGGGAGGTGTAGCTCGGGGAGGAGTGTCTGCCCGAGGGTGGAAGAAAGTACAAAGTTTCTGTGAGGTTCCAGGGCAGGGAGGAGACAGACACTGCACCTCCACAGCGTGAGTGCCAAAGTCACACAGGAAGAAGACACTGGGGAGAAACAAAATTACCAGACCAACTCCAACTTAACGTGCCCATTTGTGACTGCAAAGAGGCCCAGGGGATTACAGAGGTGTACTGAAAACCACCAGATGTAGTTAGGTATCACACTGGAAGATCCAGAAATGAAAAATAAAATAGTAGCTACCAACCACAGCACAGCACCTGTGGAAAGCATGGGTGCAGATTAGTCCAAGGATTTCTGTAGGTCACTGAGAGCCTTTGAGCCCTATCGATAACTCCATGCTTTCTTTTACCAACTGAATGGTGAAGCTATTGTTAAATGAAAATATGTGTTTCATGCTTTGTAAAATAATAACAAACTGATGGTGGTAGCCCTTTTCTCTCAACCAGAAGCCCCTGCCCTAATTTTAAAAAAAGAGCAGCAACAGGAGTTCTGACAAGCAAAACGCTTGGTCCTGCAGCCCCGCCTGCTTTCCCTGTTCACATCAGGTCCTTCTGAGGCTGTGTTTCTGTACGTCACTCAACTAATTTTCCTACAGTCTGCGAACACGGCCAGTCACACTCAGCTGTTTGCCAGAACACTTAGTGAGACAACAATGCAGTCCCAAGTCCATTCTCGGCTTCAGGAAGACCTCAAGCAAACTGCAAACCACAGACCAGAGGTGAAAAAATGAAATCCAGTTTCTCACAACTGAAATAGAATTAGAAATGTTGTTTTGAAAAGTAAAATAGAAAACCCAGATCCAAGCATCTGGAGAAGTATTTAGGTCAGTTTGCTTCTGCATGTGTGTGGTGTGTATATTTCTGTGCACACGGTGATGCTTGCATACACAAGCCAGAAAAGGGCATCAGACGGCCTCCTCTCTTGCTCGCTGCTTCCTTCCCTTCTTGGGACTGAGTCTCTCACTGAATCCGAAACTTGCTGTTTAACTCTGGCGATGCAGCTGCCTCCTCCTTCCCCAGGGCTGGGATTACAGACCCGCAGTCTCGCCTAGCTTTCACACCATCAGGGAGACCTCAGACTCAGGCTCTCCAGCTCACACAGCAAGTGCTCTAACCCTGACTGTCACCAGCCCTAATTTGCATCTTGATTCACCAGGTGCATTTGGAGTCTGACGCAACAAGCATGTGCTCAGTGCAGGTGAAACTCAGAAGCCGGTGCTGCCTCCCGAGGCCTGAGATGCTGACAGGGCTCTACAGACACCCCACCTCTAGAGGCCTGAGGTTTTGAGGGAGAAGGAAGCAACTGTACTGTGCACCATGGCTTCTTAAAAAAATATATCAAAGACAACAGGAGGCATTGTCAAGACTTGGCAAAAGGAGATTTTTAGTTTTACCCAAAGGGCTGAGTCTCAGCCATTTTGCTAAGGGCTAGAGTCTTTGAGAAAGTGTTAACTCCACAGTGAGACTTAGTTCTTCTCCCCTGGTCCTTGGGGCCTTGGGTCCTTTCCTTAACCAGTAGGGCAGGAAACTGCTGAACCATGGCTCTTCAGATACTGACCAATGGCCTCATTGAGCAGCCCACTCGACACTCACATCTTTCCCTGAAGGTCCTCTTCATGCAGTTTGATTATCTGGCTGCCTATCTGCTCAAGCATTGCATCCCGCCGACCCCATGCAGGCAACATTTCCTAAGTCCTTTGCAAAGGGTCTAACTGGCCTGGTCACGCCTGCCACAGGACGGAGGCTTGCTGTTTCTGGCAATGAGCAGAGCCTTGGAGGGCAGGAGCCTGTGTGGGCAGCTCCCCGAAGCCCACACTCACTGACACCTGCAGGCCAGGGATGCTGAGACACATCTGCCTTCCGGCTGCTGGCGTGGAGTTTTGATGCACAGACTTTGATGTATGGAGTTTGAGAGCTAGAATTCCAGCATCCTCTGGTGGCCCGAGCGTCAAGGGTGAGCTGACCAGCTGTGAACATTGGACATGACTGTCCTAGGTGACCAGGTTCCTTAAAACAACCTTAAGGTCACTCCATCTTCAGTTGGACCAGCACCTTCTCCTGCCTTTCTATTCTTAACTCCAAACCTCAGAATCTACATGCTCCAGCACCACAAGTTCCCCAGGTAAGGACCAATCAGGTATACCTAGACTGCTGTGGAAATGTTTGCCCTAGAAAGACTGCCATTTAGACGAAGTCACTAGATTCTCCATCTTCCACAGGATGTGAACCTCCCTGGGAGGCAGCTTCAAGTCATCCTGCTCTCTGCTCTCCTTTGCATGCATGCCAGGTTGTCTGACTGATTCCCTAGCAGGATTTCTGTCATGAAGAACTTGAGACTCACTCAGTGTAGTCCCCATCCACTAGTCCCTCCCACATACCTGGAGTCAGGCTGACGGAGTCAAAAGATCCACATGACAGCCAGGAAGAACCTGTGTTCAATAACGCAACAACTACTCAGCAGGTTCCTGTGTGTCAGAAAGGGAGAGCTTCCTTTTTGGAGTCCCTAGCCTCCTTCACAACAGGCGTCTGGGCCCTCCAGCCAGCACCTGCAGTTCAGCTCCAGCTTCAGGCCCAGAACACAGAGATCCACCTCAGGCCAGGCTGACTTCTTCATCCGGGACAGATTCCAGGGCTCACGGTAACCCGTGGGGCAGGGCAATGCCATCCTAGACTTCTCTTGTGAGCTCCTGCCACCCCAGGTTACTGCAGCAGGAAAGTCCCCGGAGCAGCCGTGCCGAGCGTAGGGCGGTGACGAACAAAGGCCCGCCCCACCGCTGGGAGAGCTGCCCTGCCCCTGGGTCCCCACGTGTCCCCCGCCCTCCCAGTGGCGCGCGTTTACCTGCTCGCAGGCAGAGGGAGGAGGGGCGGGAGCGGGGTGCGCGCCCATCCCCAGAGCAGCCGCTGTCAGACACGGTCGCTGAGCGCCAGCGAGGAAGAGCCTCCGGCCCAGGCGGCGTGAGCCTCGAGACCCCGGAAAGCAGTACCCGCTCCCCAGCCACCCCGAACCCAGCGTTGGGTCACTCCTGCCGGGCTCCCTGGCCCGTCTTGGCCTCCGAGCCGCAGCCAGCACCGGTAAGTGATCATTAGCGGGGACGCGCTAGGCGGCCCTGGTGCCTTTGTCTCTGTGCCCCTAGGAGCGGGAGACCCCATCACCGAGTCTGCCTCCCAGAGAGGCGAGGGAGGGGGCGCTCCGTGCGGTCAGCAGAACTCTGCCTCCTCTCCCAGGCCAGGAGTGCCTGGGTCACACCTAACCGGAGGCGCAGGTGGCCCGGCAGGTGGCAGCCAGGCGACCTCCAGGACGCGACACCAGGTCGGCAGCCCAGATGTGTCTTAGGAAGGGTTGGACGCGAGTGTAGACCCAGGTCCACAGCGGTGGAGACTGGAAGCCTGGGGATATCCCGGAGTGCTCTCCAGCCAGCCCCGGGTACCCTGGAGTCGCCGAAACTCCGGCGGCCTAGGAATGGTGGTGGGAGGTCGGGGGAGGAGTTTTAGGGTGGGAGGTGACCTCGGTCTAGAGAGGCCGCCCTCAGCATGTGGAGGGGGTCTGACGCTCTCTGAGGGTGCATTTGGGGTCCTTTCAGGCCTGCGGCGCGTGCTAACCACGCACCTGCTGCCCAGCGGGCGGTCCCTGCCCTGCCCTGCCCTCCCCCATAAGGAGAAGCAGTTTCTCTTTGAGCTGAGGGCGGCGACAGGCACTTGTCCAGGCTTCCGCCTTCTTGGGGCCTGTCGCAGTCTCCTAGGCCCTTTGGGAGCCGCGCGCAGCCCCCCACTCACCCTGCCCACCTGCTGGCACTGGCACTGTGTCCAGCCTGGCCTGATCTTCCCGCAGTAACTTAATCTTCTGGTCCTGCTGAAGCTCCTGGCCAGTGGCCCCAGGGGCAATCCTTGTTTCCTGCCATGGTTTGTTAAAATTCTGTTTTTTAGAGATGTGTGTACCCCGCTGAGGGTTTTGGGGTGGTGCTCCAAACCAGGAGGCTGGACAAGGGTTAGTGGTTCTCGGAGGAATCAGTTCTTGTTTGCCAGCAGCAAGAGCGTGTCCGTGCATTGGAGAAAGTCTTGGAGCTGGGGCGGTGGGGGGGAGGGGCAGACAACAGGCAAACATCATCTCTGCCTGCGCACACGCAACTAAGAACGACTTTTGCAGAGGAAGGAAACCTTGGGGAGGTCTCAGTTAAGACCGGTGGCTTTAGAGAGTCTAACTAAGTTCAAAGGACTACCCACTCACTACTCATGGCTCTCCCAAAGAGAGATTACCTGCCAGGACTTCTGGGGTGGGTGGGCGCCTGTTCAGAACATGGGGTCCTGGGAAGAGGCGATCCCAGGCCAGAGTGCCGGATAGCCAGAGACCTGTAGTATGCTCTCAGCCAACCGCGCAGGTGCACACAGCCAGCTAGTTGAGACAGCCTCAGAGAGATTCTCAGTGGCATAAACAGAAACCCGAGAGAGAAACTACAGTTTAAAATAAACATGAATGGGAAATGCAGCTCCTAGGAATTTAATCCTTCTGCAGTGACTTTTTATCAACTTGAGATAAAAAAAAAACAACTTGGGTGTTCAAATCCACTTTGTAAATCCTTTTAATGCCTATCTAGATATGGAGTGTTGGTTCTTTGTGGAAATGGTGTGAGTGATTAAAAAAAGATGTGTGATCACAGAGAAAGAACAGAGTTCCGTCTTTTTCGGATGCCCCAATTTAGTCTGGGTTTTGGAGCGCTAAAGCTTGCTTTGTTTAACTATTGGTTTCCTCTTCGTGCTCTTTCTGTTTTTAATTTTCAGATTACATTTATTTATTTATTTATTTATTTATTTATTTATTTATTTATGTGTCTATATGGGTGGACATGTGTGGAGGTCAGAGGGTAACTTTCAAGGAGTCAGCTCTGCCTCTACCATGTGGGTTCCAGGGATCAAATTCAGGTTGTTAGCCTTAGTGGCAAGTGCTTTTGACCACTGACTCATCTCCAGGTTCTTTCAAAAGATGTCAGCAGCTCTCTCTACCTTCGCAATAGCAAGTGGCATTGACTGACAACTCACTCAACACCAGGCTCCCTACTGAGAGCTGTTAACTGCTGTGTTTAAGTCTTACCTGCCTTGGGAGAGAAATGAATTCCCCATCATGGTCCTATTAGTTGCCACTCAGGGTACCTAGAGGAGAGGTGGAGTACCTCTGTGAGATTGCCTCCTGGCCCCATTTGGTCCCTCGCGGCCACTTGAAGGTGCTCCTTCCTTTCTTCTTAAATATCCTGTAGGGCTGGGGAGATAGTTCCGTGGCTAAGGACGCCCTACTGCTCTTGCAAAGGACCCTAGTTCAGTTCCCAGCACCTATGTCAGTTGGCTCACAGCTGCTTGTAACTCCAGTTCCTGGGAGTCCAACACCATCTTCTGGACTCTGAAGGAGCCAGCACTTACAATACGTGCATACCCCATGCAGACATACTTATAACCAAAACAAAATTTTAAGTCCACCACTAGTAAATAACCATGCCTATTAAAACATCCAGTTTTCATCTCCAGGTGACCTGACCATAGGGACACCCATCTTTCTTGATATCCTGTTCTTAGCTTTCTTTCCAGTCAATATAGAAGAAAAGCAAATGATTTAGCATTACTTTAAAAAGCCATTGCTCTGCAGAGAGAGGCTCTTGTAAGTCCCTTGGAGAGCACTAAAGGAAGGCTGCAAGGTCCTGTTTTTTGCCGGGGGGGCGGAGTATACATCAGAAGCTCCTGCGTCTTCCAAGCAGAACTGAAGACCTGCCAGAACATTCTCCCAGAAAGGCTTTAACTCTTTGTTGAAATCTGTGGTGGGCAGACTTTAGCCAAGAAACAAAGTCAGTGGGAGATACCTGTTACGGTCCAGTTTGCTCCTTTTGGAGGCAGCAGCTCCACCAGACGGGAGCCTGCTCTACCTAGAACAAGCTGACAGAGTTAGCTGGCCTCTTGGAGGCACCCCAGGCTACTGAGCATGGGACCTGCTCTGACTGACTCTGCTGGCTGCTCAGGACAAGCTGCATGTTCTGAAGCCACCGGGACATCTCTCACTCAGGAGTAAAGATGTGGCACTGTGCTTCTGGAAGTTCTTTTGTTACAGGCTTTGTGTGCAAAACTGAGGAGCTCTGGGGGCAGTATGTGAGAGAGGAGAGAGGGGGAGGGAGAAAGGAGGGAAGGAAGGAAGGAAGGAAGGAAGGAAGGAAGGAAGGAAGGAAGGA